CGTCAACCACGGCATTCATGAGATATGAAGCGAACAAAATTAATAAAGAAAGAAAGGAGAACAAAATGAATGATTCTGACGAAATCATTATGTGCTCTGCTATGCTGTGTGGCAGATCCTTAAATGGCAACCAATAGCAATGATTTGCTCTGATATTCTGTCACTGTGTTTTATTATGTTACACATGCTCTATTGGGTATCTAAACTCTACAGGTGCAATATAAATTGTACTGTAAGTGTTACTAGTGGGAAAGCCAGAGAGTCGTGCACATTGTTGCCCGGTAAGTTGGAATATATTTTGTAAACTTTTTGCATGAAACGATCGTGACAAATGTGATTCATTTCTGATATATATAGTTTATATCTACCCAGATGTGTATTGATTAATCGTTATTGATCAAAACTATTTTATTCAAAGAGGTAACATCTTTTTTTAAATTCAACTTTATCTTTATGTCCTACAGCAAGCACAATTAGTAACAAGCAGGTAGAAAATAGGCGAAAAGAATGCGACAAGAAAATCTGGAGAAAGTGAAACCGATAAGGATTAGAGAGAAAGAGAGCGAGAGAGAGAGAGAGAGAGAGAGAGAGAGAGGAGAAGAAATGGGGGGGGGATAAGAGGAATGCAAACAAAGATTGGGTTGCTTTAGGGAGGGAAAATAGATTAAAATTGTGCACACATTGTGTGCGGGCAAGCACTGAACCCAATGACCGGGGTAATAGTACATTTGTAAAGAGCTTAGAGACATTTGTATTAAGCGCTATATAAAAATTAAATATCATTATTATTATTATCTAGCTTTTTGCTGAGGGGGGGGGGTGACCCAATGAATACACGGAGCATCCGGTCCACGAGCCGCGTAGCGGCGAGGTTATTTTTTGCACATGATGGCGTTTGTCTATGCACACCACATTTTCACTTGGCAGCGCAAGGGGAAGGGGGGTTGACCCCGCCCCCCCCCGTAGATCTGCCCCTGGGTGGAGTGGGGTAGGAGCGGACGAAAGGCGATTAGTTGGGGAAAACATGGACCCAGTACACACAGAGAAATAAAAGGGGTTCTTGGGGAGTAAAACAAAATTGGAAAAATAGGGCGCCCCTTGTTACACCTTTTAGGAAGCAAAATACGCAAGGGAGTACAGAATAGTCATCTGAGGGGTGTAATTTTACACTTTCTTTTAGTCAGACGAGCTCTGATTGGCCAATATATTGTAACAAATCAGGGCTTTGGTATTGGGAGGTTAAGCATTTTTTTTTGTGAGTGCATTTGCGCATGCGCTACAGCAATGGCGCATCGTGTCAATATAGGTACTGCCAAATTTAGCATAATTTACATATTTCAGTCATGTGGGGGGAATTATCATATTTCATTTGGGCATATTATTTGTGTGAAAGTTATTTGATCAAGAATAAGGGGTTGTACCGAAGGTTATATTTGATAATTTTATGAAATTAGCAGAAGTGTTGTTTTACTAACTAGTACATAATTGCCTTCTTATACGTGTAAGTAAAGGGAAGATTGTGTATCTAGGTATTTCCACTACATTAGATCCGATACGTCCATCCAGACCAGTCTCACCGAGGCTAACTTTAAGTTGGTTCTTACATTCTGCACTTGTGTTGAGTTCAGAAGGGGAAAGGGAAAGGAGAATCGATCGAGAGCATAGAAGGAGACGAGGCGAGAACGAGAGAGTGGGACAAAGAGAGGAGAGGTGGTAAAGGAGGGCAGGAAAAAGAGGAAGTAGAGAAGAGAGAGAGAGGGGGGGGGGGTGGATCAAGTGAAGGAAATGAGGATTAAATGGAGGACGAAAATGCAGGACGGGCTAGAAATGAGTGAGACAATAATAATTATATAGGAATGTCAAAATGAAAGACGATAACGACCAAAAGGCGGAAGATGAGAGTAAAATTATGAGACTCCGTGAAAGCAGGGGAGAACCAGGAAGGGGAGGGGAAGGATAAAGGGGAACCAAAAGTAGAGGAAACCGAGAGGTACGGTGGAGCTGAGAGAGCGAGGTCAGAGAGTGGAAGCAGGGGGAAAAAGAGGGGGGGGGGGGGGACGAGCTGAGGGGACATAGAGGAGAGGGTCGAGGGGAACGAGGAGGAAAAGAACATTGAACGGACCAACATTAATGACAGGCGGAAAAATCGGAGCGGACCGGGGGGGGGGGGGCGTGGAGAAGGCAAAAGGGTTAATTCTTTGGAGAAGAGGGGTTAGTGAAAGACGTGGAGCGAAGAAAATAAGGGGAAATAAGAAAGATAATGCAAGATAGTGAATGGTGTGGGGGGGGGGGGAGAGAGAGACAGACAGAGAGCTCGGGTGGAGAAATGGAGGGGTGAACGGAATAAGCAGGCTGACGGAAGAATGAGTTGATGGAGGCTTGGAAAAAAGGAGTGAAGGATCGATGTGGACGGATTGGATAACGAAAGAGGACAGAAGAAAGAAGGACAGAGGGTCGATCAGAAAGCTAGAGAGGGGAGGCGGTATTAGGGAGCGGGGGGGGGGGGGGGGAGGGGGGGGGGGAAGCGGAGAGAAGAAAGGGGAGGTAAAAGAAAAAAGGAGCCAAGATCCATTTTCCATGTCGGGATACGGTTACTGTCAATATTATTCCTGTAATGTTATATTGTTGTGAGTCTTGCAAAATGTAATAACATCAACCGTTCAAGACAACTTTTCAGCAAAAAAAAAAACACTTTTAAGGATTAAACTAGGTTTTTAAAAATGATAAGTGGTCTAAAAACTGCAGCTACACTGGCATATGTGCAAGCAATGATATGAATACAAGCCTCCATTCCTGAAAAAAAAATGTTTAACAGTGCATGATCAAGCATTTAATAAAGTTATACTAGGGAACAATATAATAGAGTATTGAACTTGAAACATTATGTAAAAGAAGAAAAACACACTTACACAATGCTAAGAAAATCCAAACATTTCCAAACAGTGACTTTAAAGAACCCATGCTTGATCGTTGTTTTTTGTTAGTTTTTCATTGACGGACAAAGAAACACTGCATACGGGCTTCATATTTAACAATCACCGTGAATGGTTGGAGAGGTCTCAGTACTTCGTTCGCACTAAATGCTATCGATACTGACGTGTATATAAATGATAGCATGCACACAAACACGCGGTAAATACGCGGTGAATAGATAGAAAGATAGTGATAAATATAATGATGATAATGATAATAAATAATAATGGTTTATTGTAGAGCACTTATTTCTTTTGATTATTTCTTGACACTCCTCGTGCTCCAAAGATAGATATACAGATAGAGAGAGAGAGAGAGAAAGAGGGAGAGAGAGAGTCAGATATGCAAACGAGATCTAGAGGGAGAGAGAAAAGAGAGAGAGAGAGAGAGAGAGAGATAGAAAGGGGTTAAGAGAAGACAATTAGGCTTTTAAGTGCGTTTGGTTTCTGTTTTGCTCTCCTGCGTGTCTTGAAAGCGCTTGCTTGTTTAGTGTCGTTGAAACAAAAAACTTAAGCAATAACCATCAGAGGTTTTGGTGAAAAATGTATCCAAAGGCCGAATCAAAAAAGTAATACTGTATGAACATAATTTTTCCCATATTCACAAATTACAAATCATGAGCAATATAAAAACAAACCTGTACCTAATAATTTGTTTAATCCGAGAGTAAAAGAGAACCTAAAGCTAGCTCTGTTACTAAATCAGTCATTATGAGGGATTTGAGGATGTCGGCAGAGGGAAGGAGATGACCCGTTATTCAATCTTCACCTCGCTGCTGATATGACCAAGAATGGGTAACTTTTTAAAATTTTATTTTAAAACAGATGTTGTTATTGTTATTTCTGAAAAAATTAACAGAGTAAAAGCAACAATATAATATATAATATCTTCTTAAAACTGCAAAACAAGCACCCCCTCATGCACCCATACACAGACACACATCCACACTCACGCACACATACTTCCCAGGGTCAAGTTTACATTACAAAAGATCAATTTTTCCCACAGTGGTACAACTTTTCTACAGTCACAAAACAAGTGATCTAAAAAATCTGGAAAATCTGAACAAAAATAACAATTAGCAGACTCCTTTCTCCCAATCTTAAACAAAAATACATTGAAACCAATAGCATTAAGGAAAATTTGAAATAAAAACTCCTTAACTGAGTCTAAATTGTGCAACAAAAGTTACTCGTATGAATATTCGACCAATCCTTCTCTTTGGGTTGATGGCCAAAGAGTTCCTCCCATTTACTCTCCCTTTTGGCATCAGTACATCTGTATTTCTTTAGCAGAATATTGTATGTATGCTTAGACATTTTCTTTTGACTAAATAGATCTTTAACAAATCGATAAAATATATTCTCATCAACATTAAGAGAATTATCAAACCACTCCAAAAATATGCTATTCATGAGGGAGTCTCATTTTCTTCGGTCTCTTATAAGAATGTCAAACTCAATTACGATGTCTTCAAATGTTTTGGGGTTACCCGAACCATTATGCAAATGAAAAATGGAATGAATACCCCTTTCATACCTAAGTGGATAGAAAAAAATGTGTTCTATCTTGCAATCTTACATTTCTGTTCCACCAAATACAATATTGTAAATGAAACTGACATGAACCTAAATCTCTTTTCATTTCTTGCCTATATAAATACCATGTCTTAATAGACTTAATAGATTGCAAAAAAGAGCAGCGAAGATAATTTGTAAAATGCCTTTCCTTGCCTCCACTAAACCTTTATTTACTCAATTAAAAATCTTGAATGTATTCGATTTGTATAAATTAAGACTGGCCATTTTTATGTTCTCTTGTCAGAGACAAATCTTGCCATTATCCCTGACTCGCTATGTTTCCATTAACTCTTCAATCCACTCCCACTGCACTCGTTCAAATGCAGACTTTCACATCCCATATGCAAGAACTTCAGTTTCTCAAAAGACAATTTACTATGCAGGTCCCAAACTATGGAATGCATTGCCACCTTATCTAAAATCTGCACCCTCTCTGAATGTTTTCAAGAGACAATACAAAGAAAGGCTTTTACAATCTTATCCACATTGAGTCACCTGTTCTTTGTTGTTTATGTCAATGTTAATTGTTATATCCCTGGTTTGTATGGGTTTTTTCTTTTCAGGTGGGCTGTATAACGTACAGACCACCTTATAATTTCGTTAGAATTGCCTTTATTTATTTATTATTTATTATATATTTTTCTTATATCTAACCACTTTTTTGTTGGCAAGATAACTTGGAAATGGCTCAATCAAATAATTTGAAATTTGGCACACATATGTATAGGCATATGTACAAAGCACAATAACGTTTTCAACATTGACCTTCACTGATGACGTCATCTAGGCGCCATTTTGTAAAATTTTACGAAAATCAACTCCTGATCATATCTTCATAACCAAAAGGTATTTCTGATTCATATTTATCATGATCAGGGTCAATATCCGTCCGGTCAATTTCAGGTCAAATAACGCGCGCGTGCGCGTACGTCCGCGCGTCAATGCGCGCGCAAAATTTTGAAATGCTCAAAATCGTCTCAAAATCATTTTGCATACGTTTTAGGCCATTCTAAGCATTTTTTTAAAAATCGCGCACACGCGCATGCGCGCGCATTTTCGCGCGTAAAACTATTAGACACCATAGAATCGCCATTTTTTTTCTTTCATAATATTCCACATATTCTTACAAACAAATTGATACCATGTTTGTCTCTTTATGACTATAAATAATTGAATAATCGACCGTTTAACATAAATTTCAATGCGCGCGAGCTCTTGTAATACATAGCATATATGGGCAAAAACATGCCTATGCAAAATCCATTATAGCTCTTTAGGATGCAAGGTGACCCCAATTTTTTTTTCATATTTTGAGCGAGTATGAATCAGATATATGATTTCATGTCTCATTTGACCCTCAATTAACTCATGACGTCATCATAATGGCCTCCGAACTCAAAATTTCAATTTGCCTATTATGACGTCAGCATTTTTTTGGAAAATTGATTGTATCTTTCTAAAAATTGATTAATTTTCTTTAAAATTTTGATATGTTCTAGCTGAGACAATTCTCTACAAATCCAGTTGTCACAATTTTTCATTTTGACAAAGGCATCATGGCGTATTTTTGCGATTAAAGGAGGCAAGCTAATTTTTTCACATTTTGCGTGTATTCTCTATGGGACATGACTTTTTCTCAAAACTTGATTCTACATTCCCGTCTTTCGCGAGCAATATCTACGTCGTTTTAGCTTCATTTACGCTGAACTCCGAATATGTTGTAGCTGAGACAAAAAGCTATTTCAAATGTACCCTTTATTTTGTCTCAATTTTTTGTTGGATCAGTCCACCTATACTTGTTCCAAACAAGTATTACAAATCTACTAATAATTGTTATTTCTATTTTCTATTTTGTATGTACTATTATTCTGCTTGGGTCTAATTTCATCCTATGTATTAACTTTACTTCTCATCTTGCCTTTCTCTCCTTCAATTTTCCTTCCTCTTCCCCTCTCTCTCTCTCTCTCTCTCTCTCTCTATCTATCTCCCTCTCTTGTTTCTCTCTGACCCAGCTGTAGCTGTATATGTATTCGCTCCCTTCTGTTGTTGTACATGCAACAGTATACAGTGCAATTTATTTTATTCTAAGGGGTCGAATTCACAAGATCTTTGAGTAGATCTTTAATCTGATCCCCACTCAATTTATGTTATTTTTGTTGTCATCTACTGATTTTGCTATGCCCATCTTTTTATGTTTGTTATACATGTATGCGTTTATTCGCAATTCTATGTGTCTGTTTTTTATATTGAGTGAATAAATTATTTGAATTTGAATTTAAACGCAGTTAACTGGCAATTTTTAGGTTTTGCCAAAACCGATTCTGGGGCATCTGCCGTAAAAAGGGCAAGATAGTCATCACAAAAGGTAGAAAGAATATATATTTATATTGTTTTCCAACAACTTTCATATTAATCGTCTAAGAGTTTAGCCATCCACAACATTTTCTGCGCTTGTGCAAAAACTAAAGGATTAATCATCCTTAGACCCCCTTTTTCATAACCATTGCATAATATATAATATATTGCATAATATATATATACTATATAACCATTGCATAATATATCTCCCTTAACTCATTGCCATTGCTCCAAATGAATTTAAAAAGCAAACCAATTAATCTTTTAAAGAAAGGGTTTGGCAGGTCAATGCATAATACTAACAACGAAAATAACATTTGGGGGAGTAAAAGCGACTTTACAACAGCAATTTTGCCCAACAAGGATAGGCTTCTATGCCTCCAACAATTTAAAATCTGTTCTATAATGAAAAGTCTCGAGACAAAATTCAGTTCGTAAAGCATTTTTGTGTTCAATGAAGAAACAACTCCTAAAGCCTTAAACGTTTTTATTCTCCAATTCAGCCCTAATGCATCTTGTGGAATAATTGTACTGCCTTTCAGCTTTCCTATATGAATTGCATCTGACTTACTTAAATTAATGCGACAACCTGAATATTTTCAAACTGAGTCAAAGTATTCTAAAAACAAGTTGTGTCATCCGCAAAAAGACTTATCTTCTTTTCAAAGTTGCCAACTGAATTGTGTCGTACTCAAATAGCCAGAATTCCGATAGCTGGTATAAATAAAAGAGGGGATATTGGGCAACGCTGGATTATTCCTCTTTTAATTGCAACCGGATTGGACATAAAACCATTGTTTAAAATATAGCTAGTTCTGGCATTGTAAAAAGTCTATATCCAACTTAGGAAATTGTCTCCAAAATTAAAATAGTCCAATACTGAAAAATAAAATTATATTCTAATTACAAACGCTTTTTCAAAATCTAACAAAATAATTGTAGCTGGCTCATTCATATAGTCTGTGTATTCAATTAAATCAATTATAACCCGAATATTTGCCCCAATGTTACGTCCCTTCATAAAACCCTCGCTGATCTCTATGTATCAGATAATTTATACAAGACTTCAAATGGAAGATCATAACGTTGGCTAGTAATTTATGGTCAAAGTTCAGTATAGAGAGATAGGGCGAGAATTCTTCACTAATAGTGGATCTTTATCTTTTTTTTTGGAAGAGGAGTGATTATTCCACTTTTGTGACATTGTGATACAATTCCTTCTTGAAAATAATAATTATAAGAGTGGAGAAATAAATCTATGATATCATTTAAAAGGGTTAAATACAATTCACAAGGAAGGCCATCTAGTCTAGGACTTTCATTTGTGCCCATATTCTTTAATGTGGTCCAAAGTTCATTTTTGGTTAAAGGTTTGTTTAGAGCAGAAATTGAATCATCTGTTAAGGTAGGTGGTATGGTATGGTATTTATTTCATTCTTCATAAAAAACATATACAATACATACAGAGTATTAAAAAAAAAAGAGAAATATATAAATACATGTAGAAGGGTAACATTACAGATAATATGAATACAATAAAATTAACAAGAAAACTAGTTAAGAAAGAAGATTTATGTCGAATGAGGGGTCAACAAAAAAGAGCATTTAGCCTTGTTAAACGTTGACCCCTAAACAAATACGTAATTAACATAACATTAAGAAGAAAAAGAAAGCAGGTAGAAACAGTAAAACGGAAAAGGAAAACATTATACAAAAAAAAAAACACAACATATATATATATATATATACTATGATATTCAGGTTGTTGAGTACAAATTTGATAAAAACAATCGGAAGGAACGTTTAAAAACTATTTAAGGAAGGTTGATTCTTTAGATGGTTTGGAATCGTGCTCCATAGATGAGGACCTTTATAAAAAATAGTAAACTTTGAAATATTAGTTCTAACTTTTGGCAGATGGTATTCAACAGCATTACGTGTATTATAATTATGTATGTTACTATTTAAAATAAATTTTGATGTAATTGGAGATGGTAATAAACCTCTAGAACACATAAACATAAATATTGCAATATTCAATCTATTAATGTCATAAACATTTAGGAGATTTAACTGGGAAAAGATTGGCAAAGTATGAGCATGATATGGTGAATTAGAAATTATTCTTATGGCTTTTTTCTGCAAAACAAATAGTTAAGTAATAGTATTGACCAAGCAATATTACAATAATTGACATGGGAGAAAATCAATGCATAATATAACATAACTAAAATATGTCTTGGAAAATGTCTCAAACGGTAAATAATGCCAACAGCTTTGGCAACACGATTGCATACGACACCAACGTGTTCATGCCATGTTAAAGATTCATCGATATGAACACCTAAAAATTTCACACAAGAAGTACGATTAATTTGATGACCATAAAAATTGATTGCAAAATTATCTTCAATACGTCGTTTAGTGAATACAATATATTGGGTTTTAGCAACATTCAAAACTAGTTTATTGTTGATCAACCATTCACTTAATTTATTTATTTCAGAATTGAATGAATCAACTAGCGTACGGAGATTATTATGAGACATGAACACGCTGGTATCGTCTGCAAATAATATAAAATGTAACAAATCAGATGAACTCACGATATCATTAATATAAATTAAAAAAAGTAAAGGACCAAGTATTGAACCCTGGGGCACTCCACAACGAATGGGCAAATATGAAGATTGTTGATTTTGAATAGAAACAAATTGTTGACGATTTGATAAATAATCTTTAAATAATTGCAAAAGAATTCCACGAATACCATAAGCCTCTAATTTACGTAACAAAATTACATGATCTAAAGTATCAAAGGCTTTACTTAAATCAAGAAATAAACCAATTGTGAACTGTCTAGAATCAATTGCATAAGAAACTTTATCAATGAAATTAAGAAGAGCAGTCGTTGTGGAGTGTCCCGTTCGGAAACCATGTTGATTTTCAGACAAAATATTACACGATGTTAAGAAAGTACTTAAACGCTTATATAAACACTTTTCAAACATTTTAGAAAAAATAGGGAGGACAGAAATAGGCCGGTAATTATGTACATTAGTGCGATCACCACTTTTAAAAACTGGAATAACTTTGGCTATTTTCATTTGATTAGGAAAAATACCAGTTGACAAACAAGAATTGAAAATAGAACAAAGAGGTACACAAATCAAATGTATAATTTTCTTGACAACAGTAATATTAATATCATCATAACCAGCACTGGTACCATTCTTCAAACAACGAACGATATCGATAATTTCTTTACATGATGTAGGAGTAAAATATGCTGATTTGTCATTAACAAATACATTATCATTGTAGAAACGGTTGGAATATTGCACATTGTTTGTCAGATTGAAACCAATATTAACAAAATATTCATTAAAGCTTTTAGAGATATCTTCTTTGTTTGTAATTGTGGAACCATTTACATCAATTTTTTCAACACAATGTTTGACAGATTTCGTACCAAGTTCTCCATTAATAGTCTTCCAAATTAGTCTAATATCACCCTTATCATGATTAAATTTATCCTTAAAATATTGATATTTAGCTTTCTTAATTTCATTTGTAACTTTATTTCTGTATTGTTTGTAAACTCTTTTCCTATATTCAGTTGAATTTTTCAAAGACTTTTCATACAATTTCCATTTCTTTTTAATTTTTTTCATCAATACTTTATTTATCCATGGTTTATGCTTACGTCTATTAACATTTATTTCTTGCAAAGGAAAGCATTCTTCATAAATGCGAATAAATTTTGACAAAAAGCAACTATAGCTCACATTACAATCACTTGATTTCAAATTCCATCTGACATTTTGCAATCGTTTACTGAATTCAAAAATATTACTATCATTAAACTGTCTTTTGCTTATTACATATTTCTTTTCCTTGATTTCATGATGAAAAACACTAAATACAGGAAAATGATCTGAGATATCAACTAAAATAGCACCGTTTAATTTATTAGTAACATCATTAGTAATAATATTATCTAATAAAGAAACACAACGATCGGTCACCCGAGTAGGGTGATGAATGAGTGGATACATAGAAAAAGTTACCAGCATATTTAACAAGTCATTAGCTTCATGACAAGATGTGGTATTTAATAGATTAATATTGAAATCTCCCATCAGATATACAATTTTATTCTCTGTGTTTATTTTATGAAGAGCTGAACCAGTTATATCTAAAAATTCTTGCACAGACTGATCAGGTGGCCTATAAATTACTCCTATAATTATGTTCTTATTACATACATTCTCTATTTCAATAAATATACTTTCTATTACTCCATTGTTAATATCTAAATCACCTCTATGTTTATGAATCAGATTTTCCCGAATGAACACACCAACACCCCCTCCTCTCCTCTCAGCTCTACTATTATGTAAAAAGCTAAAACCTTGAATATTGCACAATAATGAGTTGTCTTTCAGCCAAGTTTCAGTTACGCCCATAACAGAAAACTGAAAATTCAGACTATTTAACAAAGCAGAAATACCATCAAAGTTACTTAGAATACTACGACAATTCATATGTAATATGGAAAAATTTATCGAGTTCAAAGAATATTTCAAAAGGGTAGAATTAAGGTCATCAGGCAAATAAAAAGATTGATCTATTCCAAACGTCTCATTATCTCCAATCATAGGTGA